TTGAAATGTTTATGTCAAAATTTCGCAGCTAAAAGATTAAAAGTACAGCGTCGAACGTCGTCGGGAAGTTTCTTCTGCATTGCTGTGCTATATGATTACATTGGAAGAAGAGGAAAAAAAAAGATCCAAACCAAAATAGGTTTGGGGGCAAGACCGGAGAAGCCATAAATTGCGAAACAAAAAAGTGACGTTTAGACACATGTCACATGCTATTCATATGAGTGCTTTCATTGGCTACGGTTCAGAACGGCCTCCTAAAATTTAGACACCAACCTAAACATACAACGGCAATCGCAACCAGAAGCAGGTACATTTTGATTGGTCGAATTCCAAATCGTAATCGTTAATAGTAATCGGCAACGGTACGTCTGATACGGCCTTGACTAAAGCGGGTTCTAAATGACAATTTAATTTTTTGACAATAGGGACCGGTCACAAATTGAAATTCGCGACCCCCTAGTGAAAGATGTCAATAGTTTTTGTATTGATAGTTTGTCAAATTTTCTCTAGAATTTCGAAAAATGGAGCTGGAAATACATTTTGGTTTCCCATATATAAAATTTAATCACCATGAAGCTGCATACAAAAAAGGTGTGGCTCTAGTGAAAGCTAAACTTGTATTGCAAGTAGTTGAACAAGATTTTGGAGGGGACTTATGGCCGTTTCCACCAACGCAACTTAGGTTCACTTAACGTTAAGTGCCGCTTACATTTTAATTTTTTTTCCACCAGTCTCACCTAGTCTCATTAAGATAAGCTTAACTAAGCCCAGAAATGTCTAGGCTTATTCCTCCTTTAACAAAGTGGCGATGATAAGCGCCAGCATTTGCATAATATGTTTTTGTTGGCATAACAAACGTTGAAATTGAATTGAGATAATATTAGAATTTTCTCAATTTTCTAATTTCTGATGTAGCTCGCGTTTTTTTTTTCTCCCAAAGCCAATTTTTTTCGGCCGTGTTTTTTTTATTTTCGATTATGTTCTTATTTTTTGATGTTAACGATATTATCAGCTCTTTTTCCTTTATTGTATAGTTTGATGTCCGGCTTTTTTTAGGGCTTCGCAAGACCAAGAACAAGACCAAGACTGGCCAGTCTTGGTCTTGGTCTCGAAAAATAAATGCGGTCTTGGTGTTGGTCTTGGCCTTGATTTTTCAAGACCGAGACAAGACTGGCTCAGTCTTGGACATGGTCTTGGTCTTGATAGTCTTGGTCTTGGTCTTGATAGTCTTGAAAAAAAAAATTCATACCAAATTTTTAAAATACACATAACATCTAACGACAAAGCAGAGATAATGGGTTTAGGACTTCAAAAATAAAAAATAAACCTCCTTTCCTGAAAAAATTATGCCGACGTTTCGACCATGCATTTGGTCTTCTTCACAGGCTATTTTTACCACCAAGAGCGTTCCATGTCAAAAAAATACTGCATAAAGCATTCCACAACACAGAGGAACAAACAACCATCAATTCTTAAATTATAATTTTTATTAACGGAACAGAAAAGTCGACAAACACATCATGAAATTGCCATTCTGTACCGAGGAAAAAAATAGATTTCTTTTTGAACCATACATTAAACCTATCTTACCTACCTGAGCATTCAGGCCAGAGAAAGGTTTTCGAAAACCTCCACATATTCACATACCTCATTTGAATTTCATTGGCCTATTCACAATAATTAGATTTGGGTTAGTTTGGGTGAGATGTGAGGGAAATTCCAATGATTAGTTATTGTATTATGTCGGGATAGGAAAATATCGATGTTCTGTGTAAATGAATGTTACCTAAAATCTGTTTTTTTTTTTTAAGATAAAATTCAAAATGACATTATGTTGGCAATACAATGTAAAATTGTCAATGCTTTCAAATTTTTATGTAGAAAAGGCTTGTGTTGCCAACAAAGTTACTAAATTTTTGACTTGGGGAATTATCTTTAAAAAAAACAGACTTTACACTATGTTGGACGTATGTATTTTTAAAACCTATAATACCTTCTCGTGAATTTCAAAATATATTTATAAATATTGAGTCGATTTTTTTTTTTCAAGACCAAGACCAAGACGAGAGTCTTGAGAGAGAGTCTTGGTCTTGGTCTTGAACATCAAGTCTTGGTCTTGGTCTTAAGAAGATTTATCAGGTCTTGGTCTCGGTCTTGGTCTTGGTCTTGCTACCAAGACCAAGACTAGTCTTGTGGTCTCGCGAAGCCCTAGCTTTTTTGGATAAGGTTTCCCTGTTTGTTTCAATTCCCCGACTCCACGCTGCTCTAGGCACCTTCGTGCTCGTACACACACAATGCAGGATAAACTACCAATATCTAATCTCTGTGAAATAAACCGAACCCGGACAACAATAACAACTATCTATTAATAATAATTATAATCTTATAAAAATTGGCGGGAAGCGACGAATGACAAGATAACTTGACACGACTAGTGTAAAAATCAAAAGTACGCAAATCTTTCACCTGAAATTCAATGTTGCCAAAGCCTTACGACACTTAGCTAAGCTTGGACTTAAAAACTATGGTGGAACGAAATTATATTTGAGTGTCCCTTAATTTTGAAGGGCTTCATAGTTAAGCAAAGCTTAGTTATAGTTTGGTGGAAATGGCCATTATCCATTTTGAAAGGGCATGTTATGCGCCAAACCTCCATAAACAGCTCTCCTTATGCTGTTGAGCTAGGTATAACAATAAAATGGACGCTACAAATCCTTGACTGTCTTTCTGGCTCCCACATTTTACTATTTTTTGAATTGGATCTTAAAACGATAGAGAGTAAAGTAACTACAGGCTTTTTTTTTCCCCAAGTAGATTTTGACATCCTCAACTTTGAAACATAAACAATGCCGCTTATTGCTCGGAACATGCCATTTGCACTGATAGCAATTTCCATTTGTCGAACCAGTGTAATTTTTTTTTATCCTTATCCTTACATGTTACATGCTTTTAGAAAAAGATGCGGATAAACTTACTGCGCACTGACTGGCAAATGGAAATCACCATGATGTCAACCTGCAGGGACACCTCATTTTGCGACCAATCAGGGCCAAGAGGTATTGTTTACGTTTCAAAGTTGACAATGTCAAAATCTATTTTATGAAAAAATAGACAATAAATCAATACGAAAACTCAGTGTATAGTTCCTGTGTCTTTCCTGATCATGGGACCGACTAGGAAAACTGTAGAAGTGAACATTTCCACTTGTGTTGGCATAATTATTGCCACAGTTAACAACACAATAATTTGTGAAACTGTTCCTGGGTAAAGGCATGACAAGTAGTGGGTATGCACAATAGCCTGAATAAAAGATAATAAAAAGCGTTTGGCAAATAATAATTACAAGAAAAAAAGTGAAATTAAATACAATTGTTCCTTGTAAACAACCATACCTTTATAATGACAAATATTTCGCTTTGAAATCGTTTTTAATAACTAAAATTACATTTGTGTAAATGGAATCAAGCACTTGTCATAATACAAGAACTTACATTGCTGTCGAAAGAGGGCGCTACTGTAGTTTATGGACGGACTCTATATGTTCTGATATAAGGCTACAGTCTGCTCCGGTATCCACGAGACAATTCACTTTTAGATTTTGGATGGAGAACTCGGTACAGAAGTCGTTATCTAAATTAACACAAAAATAATTAATCCTCGAAGTAGATGGAGCTGACGATTGATTCCGGCGTTTGGTGAAACAGTCACTCTCCCAGTGACCTCGTTTTTTACAATATTCGCAATATTTATTTATTTTATTATCGTTAACATTATCGTGTGAAGGTCGTAAATCAGGCTTAACGTCATACTCTGCGTCAGTGTTCGGAGGAACAAGGGTGCCTTTACGTTTTTTAGGGCAATGTCTGCTAATATGACCGCTTTCATTGCAAGAATAACAGATTATTGAGATCGAGTTTTCACATTATTTGGTTCTGTATTTATTGGGAGTTGTCTCTTCCGTGTTGGTTTCTCTAAATATTTGTCGAATTTGGGCCTCTTTTCATAATTTCCCAATAAAGAAAGCAAATCAGTGACGGACTACTTTGCTATTGAAAGCCGCGGTTTTCACATGAATGTCATTGATATCGCCAATAACAATTTCGATTGTTTGGGCATCAGAAAGATCAATACCTAAAGCATTTATGAGACTAATTTTTTTTCTGGCATACGCGCAAAAGGTATCGGCATCGTCACTTGTAAAAAGGCTAACTCTACGTAGCCTCTCACTTAAATTGCGTTTGGCTGGATATAAACTCGACAAATGCTGTTTAAAATCCTCCCATGTTTTTTGCATAGGATTCCAAGAATCAAACCACTCTTTGGCATCTCCTAAAATAAATATTTAATCCTCATAACCATGATATACTAGACCATAAGATATACCATATAAATAAATAAATATTATTAAGTCAAGTTTAGTCATTTATTTATAATTTATGAGATTGGGGGTTGTTGTGAAGACAAAAACATTTGCATGCGGTGGTGAAACCCAAGTTTGGACAATTGATTCTAATATTGGCCTAAACCAAACTAAAATTGACAACGCCTATGGAAATAAAATAAAGTTGTGTTGCTCCTGTTGGTTTTTTTCTTTATAATACAAAAATATGGTACCTATCCTTTAGTTAAAGGTAAATTATATTCAAAATCAAGAAATTCCATGCTCAAGCCAAACGATGATTTATTTATTTTCGTTTGTTTAGGCAGGGCAACATAATTAAATATGCGTTGTTTACGAGTTTAAAAATCCAACGCGCCAAAGCAAAGTTAGTCAGAAAATTCAATTATTATTATTATTATTTTTTTATTGAATAAAAATCGTATGCAAAACGTACAAAATTATGGCGGTTCGAATAAAGTACAAATACGTAAAAAACATTCACTGTGTTTAAATGAATCCCATACGTTCCAATAAGTCGAATAAAACAAAATAAGTATTAGACTCTACTACAAAAATTTTTCTATTATTTCCCAAACTTAAAAATGGCTGTGTCGCTTACCCACAAGGCCACTTGATGGTCTGGAAAGTAGCTCAAAATTTGACCATTTACAAATTTCGCCAAGCTTTTCCATTTCCACACACCATTTTAATGCTCCACAGTCATCATTTTTCGGATCAAAAAACGGTATATTTATCGTAGTCGAAACAGTTGCCGTTTGTTGAGGTTCACTTTTCAAAGCCCTGAGGGAATCCGTAAGGATTCTGGCAAACTGATTCATGGCCGATTGTGCATCTGGTTCACTAGATTCACTGGAATCGTTATTCATTTTGCGGGCGGGTTCTATCTCACTTCCGATGTGAGGATTTAGGGCATAAAGACCCCGTAAAATAAACACAAACACTTCCCAGTAAATAGAACACTATATTTTTCGAAATATAGTGAAACAATAAATAACAGTAGTAACAATAGTACACAAAATTTAGCTACACGAGTGCGCGCCGAAAAAGTACAACAATAATTTTTTTAATTCTCAGGTTTCCACCCAGCGACGTGTTCTCTACTGACACACGAGTTACATACGGCTCTACATTGTATATTTTATTTAATCAGCATATTATTTTTCATTAGCTTGCATTCTGTATTCTCTTTTTGTAGCTTCTACTTGCCGAGCGTCGTCAGTCAGAGCTTTGCATTCACTTTCGACGCTTCGAATTTTAATAAATTTTAAACGTAAAAATATTGTAATAGTTTTAAGTGAAATAAATTTGTTTTTAAAAAATCGTACATCGCGTACTGATTTGTAACTGGCGCAGTCGGTAGGATAGTCAGGAATCAATACATCGAGTATCGATTTATCGTGAAACGGTCAACTGGCTATCCGAAAGAACTTACGGTTCGGGATTTTGATTGAACATCAGAAACTTTCGACCGTGACTACGGAAAGTGCTCGTGTGCGTAAAGCAATTAATTGGGGATTATTTCGCGACGGCATTTTGAGAATTGATAACAAACTCTATCAATTCTGCGAGGACTTAGTGCTTTTGGACTTGGATTACAAAATTGCCACCAGAGGACTGAGGCCTTATAGTACCACCTAGACATAAGAAGAAAACTCTATGGCACGAAAATTGATAGCATATTTTATGTAAGTGCAATTTGTAAATGTCTGATTTGGACGATTTAATTAACTCTTTTGAAAGTATTGAGATAAACGATAATAGCTCTGACTCCGCTTCAAATACAGAAGTGTTAACTGATCAATCTAATAATCAATTAGAAACTGAAGGTAATATTGATCAATTAGAAAGTGAAAATAATATTTTACCTATTGATAGCTCAAACTTAGATCTAACTGCTTTTGCACAAACTATAACGCTTTTGCGAAGTCAACAAAATTTAAACTTTTCTCCTTTAAATATTGCTACAGTAAATTTACCAGTAACTATGGCTCAATTTAAACCCGAATATTTAAGTTGTGTCCCAAAATTCGAGGGAAACCCTTGCGAGCTAAACAGATATTTAGCGACTTGCAAATCTCTCATAGATAATTTTTATGATACTGTAAATGTAAATTGTTTCCAAAATATATTTTTAATAAACTCTCTTATAGGTAAACTTTCTGGCAATGCTAGATTAGTGGTTAATGTTCAGAATGTCTCCACCTGGGACGGTCTAAAAAATACATTGACTAGACATTTCGCGGACAGACGCGACGAGTCTTGTTTGAATAGAGACCTTGTTTTAACCAAACAAAATGCTAACGAGACCCCTCAATCTTACTATGATAGAATTCTCGAATTACTTAATTTACTCTGCAGTTACGTAGATGCTCACGACGATGTGGCTACTGCCCAAATAAAACGAAATTTGTATACAGAACTTGCTTTAAAAACATTCTTGGCCGGTTTAAGAGAACCTTTAGGCAACACAATTCGTTGTATGTCACCAAAAGATTTAGCTGATGCCATACAACTTGTTATTCGAGAGAGTAACACAAAATATTTCCAAAATCAACCCAATCACAATAATAGCAATGCAAATCATACAAAACCAAAACCTCAACAACATCAATTTCGATTTAATGGTCCAACCAGAAATTTTGGTTATAATAACTATACACCAAATCAGTTTAAGCAGCCCTTTCCGTCACAACCTATCAATATTAGACCTAATGCAAACATCCGCCCACAAAAATTCTTTTCTAACTCCCAAGTTTTTGGTAAACCAAAACCAACAAACGTATTCAGACAAAATCCTGGAAAAATCTTGCCAAAGCCCACACCAATGTCAGGTGTAAGTTTCCAAAACACCCAAAATTTCACACCAGTGGCTCAAGCATCAAATTTCCAGCAACCACAACAACAGTACCAGCAACAGCCCAAATATGCATTTGAAGAATTATTCACTACAGAACTAGATCCAACTTCTGAAGAATATCAATACAGTTATTCAAACGTCATCAATCAAACGTACCCCGAAAATAATGCAAATTATGATGAACAGCAGATCTATAACCCCGAAAATTCTTATTATTATTATGCTGACCCAGCACAGATAAATTATACAAATGAAACTCAAGAAGAACCGACCACATCAAATCAGGCTGTGGAATCAAATTTTCAGGAATCAGCCGAAGACAATCAGAATATTTGACGGAATCGCCACCAGTGATTTCATTAAATTTAAACAACACCAGTGAACTCTCATACATAGTGTTTCCTGAATACAACGTCAAAATTTTAATTGATTCAGGTTCCACGAAATCTTTTATTGACCCAAATATAGCATTTAAATTATTTCCGAATTTCGTTATTAACGATCCTTTCGTCGTTAGTACGGTATTCCAGAAATCAGCCCATAAATATAGTGCTAACATACCAGCACCTAAAATATTTAATTTACCCAAAAAAGGAAAACTCAAATTTTACCTATTCAAATTCCATAACATTTTTGATGGTTTGATAGGCCTTGACAATTTAAAATTATTACAAGCAAATGTTGATTTTAATAGTGGTTACCTTATTACGCCCTATGCAAAGATCAAATTAAAATATCAACAAACACAAAACGAACTTAATTGCATTACTGTTGAAGCGAGAACAGAAAAAGTAATTAAAATCAAAACATCTATAAAAAATGGCGAAATTATTGTTCCCTATATGAAATTACACAATATTGAAATACCCGAATCACTAACAATCGCAAAAGATGGCTATGCAATAACAACAATCTTAAATAACTCTTGCGAGCCAATTACTTTAGATTTTTCAGAACAAATAGAAGTAGACCCTTTTGAAAGAAATAATATCGAGATGATAGATTTAAATAATTTTGACGAATCACCCAAACAAAGACTAGATTTATCAAAAATTCGTGTTGATCATCTTAATGATGAAGAAAAATACAAAACTTTGGAACTGTGTGAAGAATTTTCAGATATTTTCTATCAAGAAAATACACCTCTATCTTTCACTAGTAACTTGAAACATCATATACAAACGACAGATGAGACTCCAATTTATACTAAAACTTACAGATACCCGTTCATCCATCGCCAAGAAGTAAGAAATCAAATAGAAAAAATGTTAGATCAAAAAATTATAAGACCTTCAAATTCTCCCTGGTCCTCACCAATTTGGGTGGTACCAAAAAAATTAGATGCTACAGGAAAGCAAAAATGGCGTGTAGTCGTGGACTACAGAAAACTGAACGAAAAGACAATCGATAACAAATACCCGCTACCAAATATCACGGATCTTTTAGACAAATTAGGAAGATGCCAGTATTTTACAACATTAGACCTTGCATCAGGCTTTCACCAGATTGAAATGAATGAAGCCGACATACAAAAAACGGCCTTCAACACTGAAAATGGGCACTACGAGTACCTTAGGATGCCCTTCGGTCTGAAGAATGCGCCTGCTACCTTTCAAAGCATAATGGATTCAATTTTAAGGGGTATTCAAAATGAAAAATGTTTGGTATACCTAGATGATATCATTATTTTCTCGACATCCTTACAGGAACATCTAAATAACTTGAGAAATGTTTTCCAACGGCTACGTGACTCTAATTTCAAGATCCAGCTTGATAAAAGCGAATTTTTGCGTCGCGAAGTCGCATACCTGGGTCATATTGTGACGCCAGAGGGAGTCAAACCAAACCCCGATAAAATTAAAGCAATTAAGCAGTATCCGATACCGAAGACTACAAAGCAAATTAAAGGATTCCTAGGACTGTTAGGCTACTACCGGAGATTTATTAACAATTTTGCAAAAGTTACGAAACCTCTCACCAAATGTTTGAAGAAAGGCGCTAAAATCAATCATGACGAAGAATTTATTAACTGTTTCAAAATGTGCAAAAATTTACTAACAAATGAACCCATACTCCAGTATCCTGACTTTTCAAAACCTTTTAATTTGACAACAGACGCGAGTAACTTGGCCTTAGGAGCAGTACTTTCCCAAGGGCCAATTGGACAAGATTTACCGATCGCCTATGCCTCACGCACGCTCAACGACTCTGAGTGCAACTATTCTACGATAGAAAAGGAATGTTTGTGTCTTGTTTGGGCAACCAAATATTTCCGCCCTTATCTCTATGGCAGAAAATTTAACATCATTACAGACCACAAACCGCTTCAATGGCTTTTTTCAGTTAAAGAACCAACTTCAAAATTACTTCGCTGGAGAATAAGACTAGAAGAATTTAACTATCAAATTATTTACAAGAAAGGAAAATTAAACACAAATGCGGACGCCCTATCGAGAATAGAAATTCATACTAAAGAAACAACAGAAAATATTTTTGACCTGCAAAAATATGTAGAAGACGTGACAAAAAATTTAGAGGACAACAACCACCAAAATAATGACGAAATTCCTAGCACAAGTCACGAAAATATGGATCAAATATCAGTTGTAGCACAACCGGACAATGACCCACCAGAAATCGCGCAAGATGCCGATGATGCAACTATCCATACAAACGCCGACCAAAACCCTGTAGTAGGAGTACCTATTATTGAAACAGCTGTCAATTATGGTTCTAATCAAATAATATTGCAGCAGGTACACCACTCACCAGCAAGAGCGAAAATAATTGTACTATTTAACAAGAAACGTAGAATAATAGTACAACTATCGCAGGAAAATTTCGAGGAAGACATCATGAAATTTATCAAAGAATTAATAGTGCCAAATAAACCATACCACCTGTACTTTGAAAATCCAGAGGCTTATGAACCATTTTGCCGAGTCATCAAGAACAATTTTAAATGGCCCTCCTTACAATTTAAAAGATGTACTTCAAAACTACTCGACG